GACACACTGCCTCATGGAACGGGGAGGCTGCTTTTGCTGTCCTCTTTGGAAACATTTTACCTTCACTATAGCTGGCAACGCAGAGGAATTTTCCAGTTGGAGTATAAACTAACCCTAACTGTGCATCCCATTACTGATTTATTTTATTACCTTTAGGCTATTTGATTACATTTTAAAGGCTGCTGACTTATTTTGCACAAATGTGTTTCCACGTATTCAGCAAGTATTCACAGGCCACATGCGTAAATGGCACATTGAGGTGATGAGTGCTTGTTCCCTAATTAATTGACGTGCCATGACTACCACTCCCAGCCTCACATTTGCAATCACTGGGTCAGACTGAAATCCACGCATCATAGGAAGCACCCATTGATAGGTGTTTGGGATGGCTGGTGGCTCAGCCGTGCTGTATCTGCCTGCCCATGCAGAAGTCCCCTGTTCAATGCCCCTCTTCAGGTAGGGTTCGGAAAGACTTCTGTAAGAAACTCTGGAGAGTCTCTTCCTGTTTTTGACTGAGGCAGATGAGGGTAAGCTGGTGCCCTCCAGATGCTTTGTTGCAACTCCCATGAACTCCGTCCCACATTGCCAATGGTTAGATATTATGGGATTCGCTGCCTCAGCACAATCATGAGCTAGATATGCGTGTAAGCCACTAAAAGGTGAGTGAGAATCCTCTTTCCCCATTTCTTTGCAAGTATAACAGGGTGGCAAATAGAAATTGATACTAGTTGAGGTAGTAAGTGTTCTTGAGAATGCACTCCATCAGGATTTGTTTTGTAATAAGTCCCAGCAGAAGGACAAATATTTCTCAGTGAACATTTTTGCCTGATTTCTCTTACTCTCTCTAATTTTCTAGCTCTGTGTGCATGTTTCTAAGGTTGCTCCCTGGTGTCTTCCACAGGTGGGCATCTAAACATGCCTGGAAGCCAACATGATGTAGTGTTCACTGGTTGGGTATTGGACTGGCACTCGGCAGAACGACGTTTTAGTCCCCAGAAAGCTATGAAGCTCCCTGGGTGACTTTGGGACTCTGAGCCTCCTACAGGGTTGTTGTAAGGAAAAAAAATGGAAAGGATTATGTAAGTCACCTTGGCTTCCTTGTAGAAGAAGATGAAGGTGATAGCATTCTTATTCTCTGGCACAGACATTAATTTTGTATTATATTGTCCCACTGCTTGGGCTGACCATTTTCCTGAAAAAAGATGAGAGCACTTTTTAATGAGGAAGATGCTCCCATAGGAATGAGGAACTGTTATGAATGTATCTACTTTCCTTTTCAAGTATCTTTGCTAATGCACATTTTTGGCAACATGCAGTCAGCATTTTCTTCCTTGAGACCTCAGTGCTTGCCCAGGGAGACTTGCCAAAGACAAAGACTTGGTGCAAAATGATACCAAGAGCCACAGAACAGACAGGATTAGAAACCTGAAGAACTTTCTTCCTTCGCCCCCCCCCCCACCCCCTCCGGTTTTCCTGAAGAGGCCTACACTTGAATTTTCCAAAGATTCACACAGTTCTACAGTTCTGCAGCCCAGACTGACAGCAGATACCATGAACTGATTATTTTAAAGCTAACTTTTTCTGTGCAAGGATATACAGAACATTCCTATATTTGTAGCTGCCATGAAAATGCACTTCTACTGTATTCTGGAGTGGTTGGATTTTATTTATACTGGTTTGTGCTTGCAATTTGCAATTTGTGTGGCCCTTTGGAGAAACATCCTCTGCACTCTAAATTTCTATTGTTACTTGTTAAACTAACCTTTCCTGCAAGAAGTCCTAGGTATGGTTCATAATTCTCCTCAATTTATCCCCACAATAATCCTGTAAAGTATGTTAAGCTGGGAGCTAATGGGCTGGTTTGCACATCCTAATAAGTCATTCTCAGATAAGCCATCATGGGTTGGTTATTCAATCAATTCAGCCTCTTATTGTGGCTTGTTTCCACCTTACTCCTCTTGCCCACTCCCTGCCTGTTTCCCAGGGACCCCTTTTGCCCAACTCCTGGGCTGAGTTTCTCTACTCTACTTTTCTTGCCTTGCAAAGCACCTGGGTTAACATATATGCCATATCGCCAGAAAGGGTGAGGCATACACGACTTTTTAAGGTGAGAGGTCTATGGGTTTTATTTATTTTCTTCAACTTAAAGAGGTCTCCTTTGCTGTTTCTTGCTAGCAAAGCTAGGCATAGATGCGTGGTTGATTTACCTCTAGATAAGCTCCATCCCAGCCTGGTGAGGAATGGTTAAAAAAAGAATAAATGGCCTTTAAAAAATGTTTCCCATAGGAGGGGCTCTGGCTTGCAGTGCAACCTATTGAATGCAATGGGAGATACTTCTGAGCAATCTTGCATAGGACTGTTAAGAGAGCTTTAGAGATGATCACAACAGACCAGCTTTCTCATGCCTCTCCTGCTCTGATGAGGCTGGGCTTCCTACCAGGTGTGGGGACATGCTTTGTACACGGAGGCTCCCAGGGTCCATCCTCAGCATCTGCAAATAAAGCCAGGAGGAAACCCTTTCTGAGACCCTGAAGTGTAGACCACCTTTCCCCAACTTGGGTCCCTCTATGTGTGTTGGATTACTATTCCCATAATTTCACAATGAGTGGAAATTATGGAGATTATAGTTCAACACATCTGAAGACTACCAGGTTGAGGAAGGCTCTTCTACCTGTTTTTAGTGATCTTTGAAATATCTTGAAATGCGTTGCCAGGCCTATCTGCAAGAGCAGGAGAGCTGGAAATTGTATGTGTGTGCATGTGTGATGCCCTGGATTATACCAGCTGCCTTTGTCTGCTGCCTCCCTGTGGTTTACATTTGCTTTCAAATCGACACAGTGATTTGAAATGTGCAAACTGGGTCAAAACAGTACTGAGCCCTAAAATGTGATAGATGCCAAGAAGTCAACAGAGAAATTTAATTTTTCACTTATTTTATCTTCTGTTCTCCGGCAATGAACAAACAGGCTCATTACAATTTAAATGAAATCTTCTGTATCTGTGTCTGGCTTGCCAAACATCACCCAAGAGTGATATATTTGTTCATCTCAGTCATAAAACTCACTAAGCACAGCCCTGAACTGGAAATCTCGGAATGTTATTGCACACGAGTTTGAGAGGGAATTATTAACAAGCAGTATGGTGGCAGGCAGCAAAGAAGAGATGGCATCCTTCTGAGTATCAGTATGTTGCTCTAGTGGCCAAAGAGGCTGCATGGGTTGCTTTTCTTGCTGGGCCCAAATTTTAGCAGGCAAACTGTTAACCATTTTAAGAAAAAGGACAATCGAGCATCATTTGTGTAGCTCTAGCTTCTTTAGTAGAGTCTCTCCCACCCTCACTCTTTTTTTTTTTTTTTTTGAAAGGCTGTGTGCTTCTTTTGCTCTGCATCTACTTTTAGGTCTTCATTACATACACTTCTCTTCATCATTAATGTAACGTTTTAACTGCCTAGTCTTGTCAATTTTGCTTCCATGTCCATGAAAGGGAAAAGGCCTTAAAGGCCTTTCCTAGAGTAGTTAAAGCAATGGGCAAGATGCCAACTGATTTCCACCAACCAGCCCATGGCTATCTTTGTGGCCCCTTGCCCCGCCATTCAGTCTGCCCCAGTGACAGCAAAAAAGTGCAATTTTGCAAGGAAACAAAGCATACATGCCTTTGAATTCTTGCAAAATTCACGTGTGCTGCTGCTGCTATGGCTAATTCAGCATCTGTGGCAGGGGCAGGGTGCAGCTCCAGTGTGTGCTGGGGGGGGG